ACAGGTATTCACAGGTTTTCATCACAGATGTCTTTATGTCTTAAATATTTTTTTAAGTGAAAAATGTCCTTTGAGAGCAGTGTGCGGTGCTATTTTGGCTGCATCATGAAGAAAAGTTAAAACTTTGAATATATCTCACGGGAAGAGACTTATTGGTCACACATTATTCAATAACCTCCATTTAATAGGCTTCCTGGTCATTTCCATAAGAACCAAACGTTCGCTCTAAGACCTAATAAGCACTTGTTTTCCCCAGGTATTCAAGTTTTGGAACTTGATATTTACCACATCGTTTGGTAACAGTGTCTCAAATCAAGACGGTGAAAGCACTTTGCATCCGTAAAGAAGTTGGAGCTTGTAGTCAAATTTAGAGGGAAAATGCTACACTTTTCCCTCCCATTGAACATGCATGCGTCTTTGCTATCTATGTCTATAGACAATAAAGTCCCCTACTTTCTGACTCCGGGCGAGAAACCTAACACCCTGCAGCGTCGTTTACGTAGAGGACAGCACGAATGTTTCAGTGTCCTGTTTAGAGCTTAACCAAGAAAAGCATCCAGTGTGGATCATTCTAGGCGCTGACTGGCTTTAAGAAGAGGGTCAGTCACAAACCAAAGGGCTTCTCAACTCGGTGGCGAGGAGGGTCCAGAAAGCTGTGAGATGTGACCGACAGGAGAGACCTGTTAGCTTCAGAGAGAGAAGGGTTGGGGGCTGCAGGGACTTGGCACTGGGCCAGACTCGAGATGCTCATCAGTCTATACTGAATGAATGAGAGGACCCAGCACACCCAGAATGGAAAAGCAGACATCTGGATGCAGGAGGAGAGGCATTCCACATTGCTCACAGAGCACTGAAGGCAAAACTATGGCCGATTGATCTCTTTATCCCTTGTGCTCGACACCACGTCAGGTGCTCAGTAAATACCTAACTGGGATTTGACTCGATTGATCATTGAGTTTGCAGCATCCAATCGGGAGTGCCCACTGATGCAATGGACGTCTACTGTGGCCCAAGTGCTCAGCCCAAACAGTGGACCCAAAGCTCGTAGCAGTGAGACGCCTCCTAACATGTGAACTCCCAGACTCTACGTTATAGACTCAATCACATTAAGCCCATTGAAACTCCACAATGGCTTTTTTTGTTTTCCCCCCAGTCTTTTATGACTATCCCAAAGAGGTGATCTGGGCTTCATGTCACACACCCTTGCTGCTGACAAAAGGAAGAGTTCCCTGTGTGAGGGGCATCCAATGTAATTAGCATAATTAGCCCTCCCACTCACCTTGGCCAGCCTTCTCTCAGAGTTTCTGGTGTTCGCTGCCCTTACAGAACACTCTCATCAGGGTGCTGCCTAGTCTGCCACCCACTCAACATCGCTGCCCTACAAGGCACGGTGGAACTGCCTCTGTGGGTTTCTGAGACAGGCACAAGAGTAGAAAGCCTAATAGTTCTCCCCTCGAGGGGCTGGTGGTTTCAAACCACTAACCTTGCAATCATCAGCCCAACTTGAAACCCACTGCACCATCAGGACTCCCACTCCTCCCCATACTGAGAGTAAAACAAACCGCATCCCCCAAATACGTCACATGCACAACATCAAGAAGTATGCTGGCCTATCTTACAGGGACTGTTTTCCCAGGCTAGTAATAACTCATTGTGGTGGTTAGCTGCTGTCAGCCTCGGACTCGCAGAAGCCCTAACATCATGGACCAGAACACCATCCAGTCCAGCACACACACCCTCCCGGATCGGTTGCAGATGGAACTGTTGTGATCCACAGGGTTTCCATTGGCTGATTTTGGAAAGTCTACAGTCAGGTCTTTCTTCCTTGTCTGTTTTAATTTAGAAGCTCTTCTGAACCCTGTTCAGGATCCTAACAACATATTCACCTCCACTGACAGTTGAGCGGTCTCTGCACATGAAGTACACTGGCTTGGGACTGAATCCAGGTCTCTTACAGCCGGTAGATTCTCTATGGTTGAATTGCTAGTACACCTCATAGCTCATGCGTGAGTCATTGGATGAACTTTAGGAAACCCAACCACATAAATGTTGAATAAATAGAATTAGAAAAAGAGGAACTAGAATAAAAAATGCAGTGCCACACATATATCTACATGTATTGGTTTATGTAGTTCAGAGAGGGTCCTCAAACTTTTTAAATAGGGGCCAGTTCACTGTCCCTCAGGTTGTTGGAGGGCCGGACTATAGTTTAAAAAAAAACTATGAACAAACTCCTATGGGCCGGACTATAGTTTAAAAAAATAAAAACTATGAACAAATTCCTATGCACACTGGATGAGTTGTCTGCTAAGCAGGACTGGCAGCGGCGGCAAAAACCCCCGTGGGCCGGATAAATGTCCTTGGTGGGCCGCATGTGGACCATGGGCTATAGTTTGAGGACCCCTGGTTCAGACCCATCAACTGCTCCTTCCAAGAAAGAGGAGGATGTCTTGACCATGTTAAAACTTACAGCCTCAGAAGCTCTAGAGTCAGAATTGACTCAGTGGTTTGTTTTGATTTTTTGAGGGTTTATTTTTAGGGGGGGGGGTGTTGTCCTGCTTTATTTTTTGACACAGTGCATGAATAGGTAGAACAGATTTGTTATTGTGTATTGAAGTGAAAAGTGTTGTCAAAAGTGAAAAGCCTTTGTCAAAAAACGGCCAAGCAGGCAGACCTCATCGGTGGTGGAGAACAAGGGTTTTGGGTGGCCAATTTATCAATGTTTGAATCCTAATTCTGCTGCCTTGGTGCTCCATCATTTTAGGCCTGCTGCCTAACTCCTCAAACCTCTTTCCTCATTTTGAGATGGAGACATTGTCTGATAAATGTGCCTGGTAGATAGCAAGCACTCCATCAACCACAGCTTTTAAAGGCTGTCTATAAGGCATAGCCAGTCTGGCGGATGCGTGGGGCTGGGGCGGGCTAGGGTGGGGTGTGTCTTAGTGCAAATCTGGTTAATCCATCTTCTTCACACAAACATCTATGCAGGGCGGTCTGATGGGAGGGATTGAGCTAGAAAGAAGTCTCCCTTATCACCCCCACTCCCCACCCCCTACCCCCTAAGCTTGGACTGTGGCTCTTCCATACAGGAGCTGCGGGTATGAAATGATACAAACAGCAGAGACCAAAACTTTCTGAAGGGATTCTTCTCCTCAAAGCAGGACTCCAGCCTGGAGAGGTCCAGTCGTCTAAAGTTGCTGGTCAGCACCAGTGCCCACCAAGTGACTGTCCACCCTTGAAACAAGGGCCTCTGCCTGAGCCAGGAGGGCTTCTGGGAGCAAAGGACCAGAGAGTTCTTCGCTGTCCCCACAGATGCCTGCAGAGTACCAAGTCAGTGCCAACTACAAGTACAAAGCTCAACGGAAGAAGACTGGGGGAACACACCACATCCAGAGAAATCAGAGTAAAGCGAAAAAGAGGGCAGTAGAGAAAAGAAAGCGAGGGGAGAAGACCAGGGGCCACCCCTAATTCCAGGCTGGGCCTCCGTGGGGATATTCAGATGCTACTTTGCTCCCTGGTCCTTCGGGCCAGGCAGGGATGAGAGGGATTATGGGCTCTCTCCATCCCCTGCATCCCTCCCTCGCCTTAAGATCTTCTGGTCTTCAGCACTGTCTTCCACCAGGGAGATCAGGATGCAGGTACAGGCGGCTGCAGAGGTTGACAGAATGCAGTGGGCCTGGGAGGTCCACACTCCATCCTGGCCTCTACTGCCAGCTGCCCCCTCAGTCTCCCTATCCCTGACCCTCTCCCGCAAAGACACAGCTTTGGCAGCTGAGAAGTCCCTGCCCAGCAGACTCTGCTCTGAGAGAGCCCCATTTCATCATCATTTCCAACGTTCCTCCCTGCACCACACAGTAGAGGGCATTGAGATTGCTTCTCTGGGGCTAACTATACTTTTGTACTGCAGAGAACTCAGGGAGCAAAAAGCAGAGGCCCATCACCTGTCGCCTGTCCTGGCATGCTGGCAAAAGCTGGGCCTATTTGCACCACTTCTCCTCAGCCTTCTCCCTCTGTCTCCTGGGACTCCTTCCCTAGAAGGGGGGCTATGAGAGGAGTTGCCCTTCCTCCCCCTCCGTCTCTGGACCATGCCTGTCTTCTCCAGCTTCTAAGCCACACGAAGGCTGCCCAGTGAGTGGCTGGTGAAGACGCAACATAAACCCAAGCCTGTAAGGGCTCAGGCTAGGACCAAGAGATCTTCCCCTGGCCCCTGCCACCCCCACCCGCCTCCCCCACTCCCCAATTGCTCACTCCAAAGGGAGAAGCCTTGATCACCGGTCCCTGATCTCTCAGTTAAAATGAGCCAGGAGGAGAGCTTGTGATCACTTCCCAACATTCCCTCCTGTAGTCAAAAAGAAAAAAAAAGAGCGGCATCATTGGCTTCAGAGGGAGACAGAGAGTGAACTTCACCCTGAGGGGACCACTGGCCTCAGAAAATCTCCCAGGTCAGAGGCTGTGGCCAAAGCCTCCCCCTGCTCAACAGGAAGGAGCAATGAAGCTCAATGGGCAGGCAGTGTGCTGAAACCCCAGTGTCCGGGCCCAGACAGAGAGTAGAATGAAAAGGGGGAGACGCCTGCCCGAGGCCAGGTGGAGTGAGAAGGAGACCAGGTGAAGAACGCTGGCTGCCACTGGGCCTTGGGCCTGCAAGCTGGGCCCAGTCACTCTTGGTGGTGCCACACCCCCTGACTGCCATCTTCACTCCCCGAAACCTGAGATTTTCCCTTAAAATGAAGATGGGGTGCTGAAGTCATCCTTCTGGCCAGCCAGCCTGGCTCAAGTGGTCCTGCAGGGCAGCCCAAGTGCCTTGGGTTTGCTGGCTTTGCCTCTGAGGCAGAAATAGAGAGCATCTTTGAGAACACCTGCTCTCTCTGTGAGAAGGTGGACAAAATGCTCAAAATACAATAAAAGCAAAGGCCAAGACCCCAAAGGGTCTCACTCCCTGTTTCTCTGGACTCTCTGTGGGGTGCCTGTGTGCAGGATTTCTGCAGAAGACAGTCCATTTTGTCTGCCCTTTGAATATTCAAATTGAAAGTATCGCGCAATCATTGATTGTCAAATCATGGGTTTCTAGAGGTTTTAAATACTTGGCATGAGGGGGAAAAATCTCAAACCTATACCCGAAGGTATAAACCATTAATTCTGTTTGTCTCCTGCTCCAGGGGCCCGGGTGCAGCCGGATGCTTTGTGAAACTTTAAAAATGTTGCATCTCTGCTTCTCTCCTGCACAGGAGCCCTGCAAGGCGCTGAACCCCTGCAGCTGCAGCATCCAGCCACCGACCCAGCCTCAGCTGGCCACCATGTCCGGTAACTCCACTGCTTCTCCTGGGCCAGGGTCCCCCGGGTCGGGGGTGATTCGATCCGGGTGACTTTCCACAGCTTTTCCTGCATGGAACAGAGAGGCACAAAGTCAGGGCGTGCAAGTCAGGGCCCGGGATCAGGAAATAAGCCACGCTGTGGCAGTTCCGATTCGGCGCCTGCTCCCTAGGGCAGAGGCCCAGAGGCCGCGTTGACCGATCCGGCCGGACCTTCGGCTGCCCGTGTACCCCGGTCCCGGCCCAACCTCCCACTTTCCCCAGTCGCGTCTCAGGGACATCCCGCCGGGCGCGGGCTCTGCGCGCCCAGAAGCGGCGGCGGGGGGAGCTAGAGGCTCGCGCTGAGCCTGGGACCCGAGGAGGGCGCCCCGAGCGCACAGTGCGGAGCTGGGCGGCCCTGTGTGGACCCCGAGGTGCACCTCGCTGCCCTGGGAGCCCCGACCAGGACGAGCAGGTTGCGGGGAGACTGGCCCGCCCGCAGGGCGCGGCGCCCAGGCCCACGGGGTAGCACGGGTGTCCCTGACACTGGGCAAGGAGGACGAACGCAACTTCGTTTCCTGGGGAGACCCCCCAGCTTCCGGGAGGTGGCCCGGGGGGCTCGCTGCTGTCCAGCTGCGGTCCCCATAGTGACCAGGCGAGGCGCTGCCGGTCTGGACACCGTCGCCCGGGGCCTGAGCTGGACGCTCAGTTGGTGGAACGCGGGGCTCGACTCCTCCCCAAGCGGTTCCGCCGCGTGCGTTCTCCCGGGTCCAGGTCGGGGCCGGGGTTCTAGGGGTCCTGCGGGCACCCCGGAAAGCTCTGGGGGCCCAGCTGGGCCTAGCAGCCCGGTGGAACCTACTCACTGGCTCCGCGGGAGCCGGGGCCGCGGCTGGCCGGG